TTATTATAGACTCACAAATCTAAGATATTGTTTTTTTAAAATATTTATTATATTATTGTAAATACTTTTTTATACTTAGTTATTTAAAATTGTAACAACTAATTTTTTATAATTTTTTTATTATGTGTTTAGTAACTATTAAGATATTATATATTAAAATTTTATATATTTTTATTTTATTTTGTATAAAAAAGATTATAGATATGAATTTTTTTACTAAACTAAAATCATAATTGATTTTTTTAAGTTTTTTTTTAATTTTTTTTAAAAATTTTCTTACTAAAATTTCTATTTTAATATTTTGTAGATTCTCTCGTAGCTTCTAGGCAAGTGGTGACATGATTTGGTATACTTATAATTAGCTAATAACAAAATTCAAGTGGTATATTATTCCATGTCTCTTGCATAATAATATCAAGTTTTTGAAGATTATTTGATTTTGGCTTATAATACATGGCTCTTTTTATTTTGAACAAAAAATTTTTAATTGAATTCAGATCTAGGCTTTAGAAAGACCAATCCACTATTTAAACCCTATTTTTATTAATAAATTTTCTTACAATTTTTGTAATATAAGGTCTTGTATTATCCTGCTAAAAGGTAAAGTAATCACAACTTAAAATTGTTAAATATTTTTTCAAAAATAATATAACATATTTATAAAGAATTTCTATATAAGATGCACCAGTGGCAAAGATTGTTATAGAAACAAGAGGCTCAATACCAAATCAAGAATCTTGTCTATAATTAATGGTGCTACTCAAACATTTCAGATTTAATTTTTTATTTGATTAATGTTAAATTTGACAATGAGAGGTTTGAAAAAGATGAATTATGATTTTATTAAATCACAAAATATACTTGAACTTTTGAACAATTCAACCTTTATAAGTACAGATCCAATTGTTTTTTTTTGATATTAGTGGAAAAAACAAATGGCTTGGAATGGGTAATGCATGAATCCAATTAAGTACTTTTTTGATATTGATAGAGAAAAAAATGGCTTGGAATGGGCAATATATAATTTCAAGTTTTCTTTATGTAAAGCATAACAAATAGTACTTTTAGAAACTTTTTTTTTTGTGTTGTAAAGAGAGTAGTAATCTGAAAAAAAGTTAATTGACAATTTCTTTAAACTAATCTTTTTAGATTTTTACAATTGATAAAAATAAAAAAACTTGAATATTCAAGATATTTTTTTTCTTGTATAAATTTATTTAACTTATAAAACTTGTTTATTATATTCCAGGTAGTAATCTTTTCATAATTTACAAGAGTTGCAATCTGGTGTACTAAATCTTCTCTTAGATATCCATAAAAGAAAGAACTTTTTTGTTCCTTTATCAACTTCATTTTTCTATCTATTTTTTTTTAATGATCTATAGTATACAAACCTTGTTTAAAATTTTGCATAACATTGCTCACATGTCACACAACATTTAACAAAAATTTCAAATAAAAAAAAAACCGGATTTTTGCTTTTAGTCTTATACAAAAAAAGTAATGCTAAGTTATCATTATATAACTTTTGCATGATTAAATGGAATTGTACAAAATTTTAGTATATTATATATCAAGTTTCAATAAATTTATATTAAAAAATTTATAAAAAATTAATTATTACAATTTTAAATAATTAAGTGTTAAAGTGTCCACAAAAATATAATAGGTAGCTGTATATATAATTAAATAAAAAAAATAAAAAACAAGCAAATAAAATATAATTAAAATTTGAAATAAATTTATTAATTTAGTTATTATATAATTAATAGAGTCGATAGTAACGACCAATGTGTTATAAAAACAGGTATGAAACTACTTATCTGGATATATCCTTCGTTATTAATATGACTTTTTCTAACCTCAAAGCCCTTGCATATAGTATTTTTAAAATCACTGGAAATACTATCGTTCAAGAAATCGAAAACCTAGAAAACCCGAAATGTTCAATCTGTATCAAGGATATCTTAGTGGTTGCTTATAAGGCATTTACAATACTCGAATGTGGCCACATCTATCACAGAGTTTGTGTCGAGAAAAAAATTATGCTTGCAGTACCAAGTATATGTTCTTTTTCTGGCTGTGATAAAAGCGTTGATGTTATTGATGAGAGTTCCAGATGAGACTCTGTATCTTCTCAAATAAGTAGGACCTCGACTCTAGTTGACGAATTTACTAGTAATGTTGGAATTGGTTCTCCCAGAATTTCGTCCCAGGGTCAAGCAATGGATCGAAGAATCATCTAATACAACTACTGTCCTACCACAAAAACGTGTTAACAAACCCACCTCTATAGATACCTCCAACAAAAAAGCTAAAAAACCAGTTAACAGGGACGATTCACCTATAGTAAGAAGGCTAATCAAGGAATTGGCCACTCCCACTCTCTCGCAAAATTCTTCCAATGCTACTATTGCTTTGCAAACATTCCCCACAATGGACATAAATTCAGTTAATTTTCACGAATTAAATGAGATGATCATCAAAGCCGAAGATAATAATCAAAAATCAGGAAGCTATTATTTTTTTGGAAAAGGATATATGTTGTGGTTTAGTTTTTATAATAAAACCTATAGTGAGGATTCTTCTAATAGTCTGGTTAATGATAAAATTAGGGAACATATTCCCAATCAAGACAAAATTACAGAGACTACTATTCGAAAAAGAAAGGAAAGGGCGATAAAGGTTTTCGACTTTTTAATGGTATTAACGGTAACGTGCAGAGTGTGGAGTCTTCCATTCAGGAAATGATAGGTCGAGTTAAATCTTTTTCTGCGTTATCTATTTCAAAGCTGAGTAAAGATGATATCGATTATGTAATAGCCAAAGTTTTGAAGGCTAATCTGTAATAGACTAAATTGATAAGATACCCAATAAAGTCCAAGTCTCATTAGATCTTATAGCTGATTACTGCATCATATTTACTTTACTGTGACCCATCGGTCACACTTGTTCACGAATATTACTGTGACCCAGCGGTCACACTTGTTTGAAAAAAATACGGGAAAATGATTTCGCTTATATAATCGTGTTTACTTCTGCGTGTATGGGTTATTCATTAACCCGATCAAATTTTTCTTGGCAAAAGTGATCGGCGTGAACAATGCTCACGCGCACATAATTTTTTACCTGTGGTAAGATGACCATGTGACACCGATACAGTTCATATTGGTAACACAAATCACGCATATAAGTCGGCCTAGGTAATTCATTTTACGCGTCGTATCTCATTATTGTTATGGGTAAAAAAGAACTTTCAGCGTGGATACGTTCCGGCGTCGTAGAAAAGAATCTTAATGAAACTCTCGACTCCACTTTGGACGCGCTATATGATGCCTGTCCGTTGAGAAGGTCCCGCGAATCTATATGTAAATCACTTCACGACCTTTTATATAGCGATGAGACCTTTCGTCAAAGTTCTCTAGCACACATCGCAATATTCGGCTGGTTTGAAAATAGAAAATTATCACCCTCTTCTTCCTCGTCTCAAAAACAGTCAAAGCCTTTTGCGGTTTTTTAAAAAAACGCGGTTTCATTCATCTACCGTTGGTCAATATGCAACCATCAATAATCGCAAAGATAATATAACCGCTCGCGATTCTTCTCCACCAATGAAAAATCATTTTCTTTTACCGAAAAGGAACAAGGGGCGATTATAGAGCCTTTTATTAATCTTACTGAGAGAGCAGTTTATGATTTCCTTGTCAACAACGAAGATATTATTCCTCTAGAAGTCGTTGAATCATTCGCGGATAAACAGCGGCCTCCCATTAGCAAAGACTTCCGCAACGCCGATCTATTATGCATGTTAAACTTTATCCTGAAAAACATTGCCATTTTCTCAAAAAAATCTGTGTTCCATGGCCAATATAAGGCCAACCCTGCCGAGTTACTAACTGACTTTAAAAAGAAAGTGAGAAATAAATTGGCTCATGGAATCGTGGTTAACGGAAAAGATCGTTGGAGCGATCATGCACTCCAGCACGTTTCCATATTAGCTTGTGAAGTTATAATTTGCCTTGGTAAGTGACCAGCAATTTGATTTTACTTAAGAGTATAGGCTGATTTTTTTTATTTGGTGTTAGGTGGAAATTACGAAGAAGTATTCGCTAACAGGGAAGACGTTGATAGCGAAATAACTAAGCGATGGATTGATAAGGCTTCACAAAAAAGAAAATCGGAAGTGATGCTTGATAATGAAGGGAATGTCGACCCATCACAAAAAAGAAAATTTGACAATGTATTTGATGATAAAGGGAATATTGGTGTGTCACAAAAAAGAAGATTTGACGATTCAGATCTTGGGAAAATAACAGAGTTCGTACTTGATATTTTCGAAGATTTAGAAGGTACCGAAAAGGATGATGAAAAAAAGATACTAAAATTAATAATGGATGAAAATGAATACGTGACAAGTTTTGGAAAATAATCAAGGCTGAAGAGAGAAAAATTCAAGTTCGTAAATTTATTCGATTTGCAAATGTGATGTTTGACATTGTAAGTATAGAACCTTAATTTTTTATGCATTATAAATTCGTATAACAAGCTAATGGCTATCCATTTTATTACAGAATTTGAAGGCGAAGAATAAAAATAAAGGGTACGTAACAGCATGTGTAATAATTTTGCGCAGTTGGCATCATGGCATGTAAAATAAGTTCTCGCACAATTGTTACGAAATTCACACTTACTCAAAGTTGGTGTGGGCAGTGCGTCTTACTCTGAGAGCGATTTATTTCGTTCAAGGGATAAGTCTAAATCAGCGTTGGCTAAGGACGTCAATCATTCTGAAAAGTGTATCTTCATTGTTGGGTTACATTCGTAAGGATGTGTGTGGTCTTTAGTCGTTGCGCTGGACTCGTTGACTTAACTGAGGATAAACGAAGCTACGTATTTTATGTGTTCCCTGTCAACTGCTTAAAGTTTGTTATTGTTATTGTACATCAACCATTGACAACCACTTGTGAATCTATCTAAAAAGGTACTTGGACACTAAAAACCTCGAAACGAATTTTTACAGTTCCCGGCGAAAAGAATGGCGGTGAGAATTTTTTTTTTTGCTATTTTTTTGATTTTGATCGTAGTTTATATTACCAATTAGGGAGATCGAATGTTATTTTAATAAACAGAATATAAACAATGACGTTTAATATTGTTTATATCCTGTTTATATAATTCAAAA